GCAGGCTACAGAAGTAGTATAAATTTCTGCTCTTTTCAAGCTCTTTCTTCTGTGTTGACCTTGAAACTGGGCAAGTCATTTCTACTTTTGACCATTATGCTCACTTTCTTCTTGGCTCGGTTTCATCTTCTCTTGACAGGAGATGTTTTACCTGTGGCAGCAGCACCCTGGCCCTGGCAGAGGGCAATAGGCAAACGCTAGCCCTGCCCAGGTGGAAGGATGGCATTGCTGCACAAGTCCTGCTTTTACTTCATTGTTTGGTTGCAGGTAAGAGGACTCTCTGGTACTGTTATTTCCCCGTGTTTCAGAGATGGTATGAGAGTGCTGACAAGTTTACACTGAAGCACACTGGTATTCGTCTGCTGATGCAAAACAGTCAAATAGCATAAGTGCTTAGCACGCTTTCTTTTAAATTAAAAAAAAAAAGAAAAAAGCCACTGTGAAAAACCAAAAGCAGGATAAAAAGCCAGTTCTGGAAATCTCATAACCAGCGTTCTTCCAAACCCCTTTGAAGTTGGCGCTGGACAGTTGCCAAGCTCAGGCTTGTTGCCTCTTCCAGGGTTTCGCTTTCTGTCCCCCCGTCCGTCTGCCGAGGACCTGCCGGCTGTGGGCAGGACCCTCCTTCTGCTCCCCTGTTAGGAAAAACCTTCACTGCAAAAGAGAGTAGGCAAAGTCTGAAGTTTAGCCTTATACCGTGTCCTTAGTCGCTTCTTCCATGCGCAAGACAATATGAATTTAAGGAGTGATGGCTTCCAGCCTAGATCCTGAGGCCATTTCTTTTCTTACCAATGTCGCAACCTTTACATCATCCGGAAGAACAGTTTTTGTGTTTTGTATGCCCAAAGGCTGCCCGTAAAGGTTGGCAAGGGCAGTTGGTTAAGTCTGCACAAGGTCAGTCAGGATGTCTAATAATTGTCCTAACACTTTACCTGTTATGGAACAATAATGAGAGTTTTTTCATTATTTTCGGGTGAGTGAACCTGGCAGATGCTGACAGCCAGCAGATGTGTAAAGTTCGAGGTGATTTGTAAGGGACCGGCTCATCTGACGCACGGTAATTGCATTGTGGGACACTGTCACTCAGCGTCGTG